GAAATCGAGAGGTCCAAGATCAAGGTGCCAGTAGTTCAGTGTCTGCTGAGAACCCGCTCCCTGGTTCACAGACAGCTGTCTTCTCTCTATGTCCTCACATGACAGAAGAGGGAAGGGAGCTCTCCAGGGTCTCTTTCATGAGGTCACCAATCCTACCCATGACCTCATCACCTCCCACAGGCCCGCCTCGTAATACCCCCATCACACTGGAGATTAGAATTTCAGCATAGGAATTTGGGGGGAACTGAAACATTCAGTCCATTGCAAGGAGTGTCCTCCTCCCCAGAGCCTCAGTTTTCCCCCTCTGTGAATGGGGAGACTATTACCCTGAATTGTCGGGATGATCCCATGGGGCAAGGCAGGCAGGAGAGAACTTCACAAAGTGCCACACTCTCGGGACTTATTCTCTCCATTCTACCTGCTGATAGCCTCCACCTTGCTGTGCTGGCAGCATGGAGCCTGGAGCCTGCTTCCCCCTCTCTGACCCTTCCTCCCTCTCCCTCTCCCTCCCTCCCTCCCTCCCTCCCTCCCTCCCTCTCTCTCTCTCTCTCTGTCTCTCAAAAATAAACATCAAAATTTTTTTTTTAAAAAATCAACAGCAAAATACTTACACTATATTAACACATAGTATCCACACTTGTAAAAATTGTGGTAAAATACACAACATAGAATTTTGCCTTCATCATTTTTAAGTTCGGTAGTGCTGAGTAATTCACATTGTTGTGTGGTCAGTCTCTCTTCGTCTCCCAACACTACAGCTCTGTACCCGTTAAGTATTAATTTCCCTTTCTCTCCTTCCCCCAGCCCCTGGCAACCACCATTCTGTTTTCTGTCTCTATGAACTTGCTTCCTCTAGGCACCGCTCATAAGTATTTTGTCTCTTTGTGACTGGCTTATTTCACTTAGCGTGACATGTTCAGGGTTCTCGCATGTAGTGGCAGGTGTCACAATTCCCTTCTTTTTTTTTTTAACTTGATGTGTATATTTTGAGAGAGAGAGAGGGAGGGCCAGGCAGAGAGAGAGGGGGAGAGAGAGAGAGAATCCTAAGCAGGCTCCACACTATCAGTGCAGAGCCCGACACAGGGCTCTATCCCACAAACCATGAGACCACGCCCCAAGCCAAGATCCGGGGTCAGACACTCAACCAACTGAGCCACCCAGGTGCCCCAGAACTTCCTCCCTTTTAAGGCTGAGCTATATTCCCTTGAATGTGTCTGCTACATTTTGTTTGTCCATTTGTCCATCAATGGACACTTGGGTTGTTTCTGCCCTTGGCTGTTGTGGATAGTGCTGCCATGAACACGGGTGTGCAAATCTCTCTTCAGCACTCTGCTTTCAGTCCTTTGGGGTATATACCCAGAAGAGAACTGCTGGATCAGATGCTGATTTGCTGTTTAATTTTTTGAGGACCTGCCATCCTCTTTTCCTTAGGAACCGCACGATTCTACGTGCCCATCAGCAATGCACGAGAGTTCCGATTTCTCCAAATGTGCACTCACACTTGTTATTTTCCGTTTTTCAATAGGAGCCATCCTAATAGGTGTGAGGCGGTCAGTATCTCATCGCGGTTTTGATTTGCACTTTCCTGATGATGAATGATGTTGAGCATCTTTGCGTGTGCTTGTTGGCCATCTGTTTATCTTCTCTGGAGACGTGTCTGTCCAGGTCCTTTGCCCATTTGGGAATCAGGTTGTTTTTTGTTGTTGAGTTGTAGGAATGCATCATACAGTCTAGACATTAGCTCCTTATGAGATACACGATTTGCAGGTATTTTCACCCATTCCATGGGTGTTGCCTTTTCACTCTGTTTATTGTGTCCTTTGATGTACGGAAGTTTGTTTGTTTACTTTGACGTGGTCCAGTTTATTTCATGTTACTTTTGCCTGCTCTGCTTTTGGTGTCACAGCCAAGAAATCGTTGCCAAATCATGGCGCTTCTCTGCTATGTTTTCCTTGAGGAATTCTGTAGTGTTCGCTCTGGTATTTAGGCCTTTGATCCATTTTGAGTTGATTTTTGTGTATGGTACAGGTGAGGGTCTCACTTCATTCTTTTCCATGTGGACATCCGGTTTTCTCAAGAGCATTTGTAGGAGACTGCTCCCCCCCCAACACTGAATGGTCTTGACATCTTTGTGAAAATCGTTTGATATATACTGATAGACGTGACGGTTTATTTCTGGGCTCTCTGTTCTTCACCACTTGTGTTTATGCTGGTACCTCAAACTATGCTAGTATTTTTAGTACCATAGTTTTATAATGAGGTTTGAAGTCAGGAAATACCAAACTTCTAGCTTTGTTCTTCCTTTTCAAGATTGCTTTACCTATTCATGGGAGTCCTTATGACTTTTAGGATAGAGTTTCCTTTTTCTGCAAAAAAAACCAAAACCAAAAACCAAAACCAAAAAACACCACGCCAAAGCAACATCAACAAAATGCCATTGGGATTTTGATGGCGATTACACGTAGATTGCTTTGGGTTTTATTGACAACAATATTAAGTCTTTCAATCTCTGAACACATGGGAAGCCTTTCCGTTTATTTGCATCTTTTTTTTTTTTTTTTTAATTTTTTTTTTCAACGTTTATTTATTTTTTTGGGACAGAGAGAGACAGAGCATGAACGGGGGAGGGTCAGAGAGAGAGGGAGACACAGAATCGGAAACAGGCTCCAGGCTCCGAGCCATCAGCCCAGAGCCTGACGCGGGGCTCGAACTCCCGGACCGCGAGATCGTGACCTGGCTGAAGTCGGACGCTCAACCGACTGCGCCACCCAGGCGCCCCTATTTGCATCTTTAAAAAGTTCTCTCGGGGTGCCTGGGTGGCTTAGTCGGTTGTGCATCCAACTTCGGCTCAGGTCGTGATCTCACAGCTTGTGGGTTCGAGCTCTGCATCGGGCTCTGTGCTGACAGTCCAGAGCCTGGAGCCTGCCTGTCTCTCTGTGCCCCTCCCCTGCTCATGCTTTGTCTCTTTCTCCTTCAAAAATGAATAAACATTAAAAATAACAGCAATAATGATAATAACAATAATAATAATAATAAAGTTCTCTCAGCAGGTTTACTGTAGCTTTCAATATACAGGCCTTTCACCTCCTTGGCTAAGTTTATCCCTAAGTATTTTATTCTTTTGGATGCTACTTTTTTTTTCTTAGTGTTTCTTTATTTTTGAGAGAGAGAGAGCATGAGCAGGAGAGAGGCAGAGAGAGAGGAAGAGAGAGAGAATCCGAAGCAGGCTCCGTACTATCAGCACAGAGCCCAACACGGAGCTCCAACTCAGAAACCGCGAGCTCATGACCTCTGCTGAAGTTGGACACTTAACTGAGCCACCCAGGCACCCCTGGTTTTGATGCTATTGTAAACAGAATATTTAACATTTTGTTTTGGGATTGTTCATCGGTAGTGTTTAGAAATACAGCTAATTTTCACGTATGGATTTTGTATCCTGGAACATTGCTGAATTTATTGATGGCTGCTAACAGTTTTCTTGTGGAGTTTCTAGGGTTTTCGGGGCATAAGATCACCCGAGATCATTTTACTTCTTTCTTTCTGATTTGCATACCTTCGGTTTCTTTTCCTTGTCCTAATTCATCTGGCTAGAGCTTCCAATGCTACGTGAAGTAAAAGAGGCGAGCAGAGGTGTCTTTGTCTTGCTCTTGACTTTGAAGGAAAAATTTTCAGTCTTCCACCATCGCATGAGATGGTAACTCTGGGTTTTTCATACATGACTTTCATACGTGACCGGTAGTTTCTTCCTGTTCTTCTTAGTTCGGTGAGAGTTTTTATGACGAACGGGTGTTGAATTTTGCCACCTTCTTTTTCTGTATCAGCCGCGATGCCCATGTGGTACTTTTCTCTTCGTTATGTTAATGCTGGTGTCTTGCGTTGGTCGGTTTTTGTGCCTTGAACCCTCGCTGCATCTTAGCAGTAAATCCTGCTTGGTCATGGCGCTTGTGGAGCTCTCCGGATCCTGCCGAATTCTGTTTGCCAGTGTTTTGTTGAGCCTTCTGATGGAGTCACTCTTTGGAGACATTGGTCTCCAGTGTTTGTGTCATGACTTGCTTGGCTTTGCTTTCCAAGGTAATGTCGGCCTCATGCAACGCAAGTATTCCCTCCTCTTCCATTATTATTATTATTTTAGAAGAATTTGAGGAGGATTGGTGTGAATTCTGATTTTTGTCGAGTCTTTCTCTCTCTCTCTTTTATTTTTTTGCTCTTAGTCAGTCTGGCTTAAAGGTTTGTCAATTCTGCTGATCTTTTGGAAGACTCAACTCTTGGTTTTGTTAAAACCTACCCTTGTATTTCTTCTCTTTCTTTTGTTTATCTCTGCTGTGACATCGCGATGACCTTCCTTCTGCTAGCTTTGGGTTTTGTTTGTTCCTCTGTAGTTCCTCGAGGTGTCAAGTTAGACTGTTGATTGGAGACCTTCCTTGTTGTTTGAACATAAGCACTTCCAGCTGTAAATGTCCCTTGTACCCTGCTTTCTTTACATCCCCTGGATTTTGATACATTGCCTTTTCCTTTCCATTTGTCTCAAGATACTTGCTGATTTCTCTTGTGATTTCTTCTTTGACCCGTTGGTTGTTGGAGGCTGTGTATGGTTTGGGGCACCTGGGTGGCTCAGTCAGTTGAGTGTCTCTCTCTTTTTTTTTTAAATACAATTTATTGCCAAACTGGCTTACATACAACACCCAGTGCTCGTCCCAACAAGCGCCCTCCTTAATGCCCATCACCCATTTAGCTCATCCCCCCACCCAGTTCCCCTCCAGCAACCTTCAGTTTGTTCTCTGAATTTAAGAGTCTCTTATGGGGGCACCTGGGTGGCTCAGTCAGTCGAGGGACCGACTTCGGCTCACGTCATGATCTCACGGTTCACGAGTTCGAGCCCCACATTGGGCTTTGTGCTGACAGCTTGGAGCCTGGAACCTGCTTCGGATTCTGTGCCTCCCTCTCTCCCTGTCCCTCCCCCACTCAGGCTCTGTCTCTCCAAAAATATATAAGCGTTAAAAAAAAAAAAAAAAAAGAGTGTCTTAAGGTTCAGGTCATGATCTCACAGTTGTGGGTTCAAGCCCACGTCAGGCTCTGTGCTTATCAATCTGATGGGTGTTCGAGAGCAGCCACTGTGGGGACCCTTGAAGCAGGGGAATTTTATTCTCCTGAACAGGTTACTGTTTCAGCCAGAATAGAGAGACCAGGTGAGGTTTTAGGCAAGTAACACTGCAACACCCTGTGCGCCAGGCTCTGCTCAGCACATGGTGTGCGTTACCTTGTTCAGTCTTCCCGCAGCCCCATGAGGCAGGTGCTGTTCCTATACGCCCTTCACCCAGCGAGAAAACTAAGGTTCAGAGAGGTGATGTGCTTTGACTGTGGAAACACAATCAGTAGCCACAGTGGCCAGGATATGGCAGCTGGAGCTGAGATGGGAGGGAAAAAAAGTCCTAAGCCAAAAGTCCAACCATGGCTTCCTAGCTTTGTGGCCTTCAGTAGGCCAGTTTGCCTCCCGACCCTCAAGTTTCCACACCTGTAAACAGGGCCGGTTCCAGGGGTTCGGCTAGGTAGTTTTCAGACTTGGAAATGCTGCTGGTGAAGCCCAGCTTAGAGCCCGCTGAGCTCAGAGGTCAGCGCTGTTCACGGGGCGAGTGCTGACTCGGTTGTGTGGGGCAGACACTGCAGGGCATGGCCAGGGATGCTCTGAGTTCTGTTTTCCCCTCCAGGAGGCAACCGCAAGGAAGGGGAGAGGGGCATGGAGAGCCTGCGATCGCTCTCCGGTGGGTGCACTGCTGAGCTGGCCTGGCTGAGGCCGAGTAGGCCACGGGGCAGCCAGGAAGGGAGCGGCTGCTCATGGAGGGGGTTGGATTCAGAACTGCTCCTGTTACCCCATGTCGCAGCCCTGGCGACGCAGAGCTGGGACCGGCCTTTGAGGTCATCTCTCTTGGCCTCCTCAACCTCAAGGTGGGGAAACTGAGCCTCTAGAGAGGAGAAGTGCATGGCTAAAGCCCCATGGTGACGCTGGGCAGACTGGGGGCCAGAATCCAGCAAAGCAGAAGGGTGTTCAGGCCACTGGAGAGTCACCTCTGTGAGCAGAGGCACGGCTGCCCTTTCAGCACTGTGTCCCTCACTCCTGGTGCATCAGGGGCGCTCAAAAAAGATTTGTTGAGTGTGTGAGGATAGTAGGAAAACACACCCCCAGGGAGTCAGACAGCCTGGAATTCGGTGTCTGCTCTGGGCCAGCTTTACTTCTCTGGGCAAGTTTGCTTCACTTTGCTGAGCTCGGTTTCCCAAATTGAGATCACAGACCCAACTGGTAGGTGCCTGAGCAGGGATTGGAACCCAGAGCTGCTAGATTCCAGGCCTGATTTATCACTATACCTTCCTGATACTTTTATATACTTGTTTCCCCTTTCTTTCTTTCTTTCTTTCTTTCTTTCTTTCTTTCTTTCTTTCTTTCTTTCTCTCCTTCTCTCCTTCTCTCCTTCCTTCCAAAAATATTTATTGAGTACCTGCTATGTGCCAGGCACTGTTCTAGTCTCCATGGATACAGAAGTGAACAAGATAGGTGAGGCCCTGGCCTCAGGGAATTTATATCTTAGAAGAAGGTAATAGTAAGCAAGTAAACAGGACAGGAATAGCATATGTACCCAGAAGGGACTGTAATGGGGTGTGAGTGGTGTCAGGGGAGGGCTGTGTCAGATAAGGGGCTCAAGGAAGATGACATTTCGTGTGACACCTGAGAAGAACCAGCCAGGCAGAGGGCCTGAAGAAACAATTCAGTAAAACAGGCCTCAGACTTGCAGAAGGCGCCATGAGGAGGGCATGGAAGGAGAGAAGTTATCAAAGCACCCCAGATGGCCTCAGAGGGCCAGGAAGGACGACACGGCCCTTGGGGATGACCGCACCCTGGGTCGCGTTTGGGTCTCTCCGTCCAACTGCCTCTGCCCTTCCAGGTGAAGCAGATCATGGAGGAGGCAGTCACACGGAAGTTCGTCCACGAGGACAGCAGCCACATCATCTCCTTCTGTGGTGAGTCCGTGGACCCTGACCTGGAATGGGGCTTCTTTCTCTGTGGGCTGCCTTGGGGGAGTGGCGTCTTTGTGCAAGGATTCTCACACCGTGTTTTGACTTTGTGACTCTGAAGTTATTTTTGGATTCCTGGGGGGCTTTGTGAGGGAATTTGGAACCACGGAGAAGTCGAGGGAAGAAAGGAAGAATGGCCTGTGTACCCAGCAAGAGTTAGTCACTGCTGACGCTGGAGGGACTGTCTTCCCCTCGTGTGGGCTCAGTTCACGGCTACCCATCCCCCTAGTGACGTTGGTCTCACATCTGACGACAGACTCTGCACCCTTTCCTCACCCTGCCTGTGGCTGTTGCCAAATGAAGGGGGAGGATGGATGGGTTTTAAAGACATAGGGAATCGGGAGCCATTGATTCATCCTAAGGGATCATGTCCAGCTGGCTCAGCAGAGGAGGCAGGCCCAGGGCTCGGAGCTTGACTTGTATCCTTGAACCAGCTGTGCTCACAAGATTCCAGAAATAAATAACCGTGCTGCCAGGTTCTTAACTGTCCTTCCACAATGGCTACAGACACATGTTTTACGTGTCCCCACAGTCAGGGTTCAGCTTCTAATCCATGTGTATGTATAAGCAGGGATGTTTCTTTCTGCCTGAAAACCTTTTCATTCCATGACTGGAGTGTCTAGCAGTGGAGGACGTGCTGTATCTCCCCTCTCGCGCTCTTGGCCCCAAGGAGAGGCCAGAGCGAGGAGACCTGGTCGGCCCTCAGCTTCATCCAGATGGCTGGGGGCATTACCCATGGGAGCACATGCTGTGACCTGGGAGCCCACTGATGTCAGTTTAGCCCCTTTGCAGCCAGGCAGACCTGGGTTCAGATCCCTCCTCTGCCATTTGTTTGTTGGGTGACCTTGGCAAAAAAAAAAAGAAAGAAAGAAAATTAAGTTTATTTGGAGAGAGAATGTGTGGGCAGAGGGAGGGCAGAGAGAGAGGAAGAGAGACAGAGAGTATCTCAAGCAGGCTGTAAGCTGTGAGCACAGAGTCTGATGCGGGCCCCGAACCCATGAACCATGAGATCGTGACCTGAGCCGAAGTCGGACGCTTAACCGACTGAGCCATCCAGGTGCCCCCAAGTTTCTTTCTAAAGTGAGTTATGTTTATTTAAATTACACATATGTGTGTGTGTGTGTGTGTGTGTGTCTGTGTGTGTGTTTATATAGTTGTATGTGTATATATAGGTGTGTATATATGTATATACATCTACATATGTACATGTGTATATATGCATAAATGTTAACATGAGAATGTATATATGCCTAATTTTTTTTTTCTCCTGGACGTCTCTATTTGCAATACTTCAGAGTGTGCGACCATGCTCACCCGTTGGAGATTTAGAGGAATAGAACAGGATAAAAATCATCATTCTCTAACTCCAACCCCAGTGTTTGGATGAGGGAGGAAGGGTGATGTTACTGCAGGGTGAGGCCTGCAGGGTCTCTCTGTGGTGTCTCTGCTCCATTGTGCCTTATGAGCCATTGTCAGAAAGACTCGAGGCATGTCTCCAGTGCTTGAACAGTTAATTAACTTATTGCAGTCTAAACAAAAGTGTAGTGTGTGCAAGCAAAAATGAAGATATTTCAGAGAGGCTCACCCAGAATATATTAAACCCATGGGCAGATTAGGCAATAGGGTGGGCATCCATTCAAAGCCAAGTAATCGCTGGGGCACCCGGCTGGCTCATTCAGTAGAGCACGTGACTCTGGAGCTCAACGTTAAGAGTTCAAGCCCCACGTTGGGCGTGGAGCGTCCTTAAAAGAAAAACTATAATCATAACATTTTGAAAAAAGTCAAATAATTGCCAGCAAAAATAAACCAAGACAAGCAATTGCACCAAACCTCTCGGTATTTCTCCTTGTGTGCAACATAACCTGGGCCAGGCTCTTAACCCTGAGACTGCTGGAGTATTCCTTCTGTGGAGTCACAGTAACTAGAACGCTCACTTCTTGGGTTTTTTCCACAAGGATTAGGTAAGGTAAACCTTAACACTGGTCTCACACCCAGCAGATACCCAATAAGGAGTAGCTCTTACAATATGCTGAGTTTTTCCATCAACATCGATTATGCTCCTATGATATACCAGAGTGAGCTCCCTCCCAGTCTGCTGTGTAAGACAGAAGATAAGAAAATACTCAATAAAGCGCTGCTGAAAGTACCAGAAATAAGACTGGGGCCATCAGAATGGCCTGCACAGGGACTGTTTCCCGGGGGGAGGGGGATGGGGGGGGGACACTAAGGCCCAGAGAGGGAAAGCGATTTGCCTGAGGTCACATAGCAAGTTAGTGATAGAGCCCAGGCTACTGCCCAGGTCTCCTGCTCTGAGCAGGGCTGGGCGGGGTGTCCAGGGGAAACACAGACACGGGAAGATGATGACAGTCCTCTCTCTCCAGATCCGTTGTGGCGGCCCAAGTGTTGTGAGCACACTTTGGGCTCAGACCTGGGTTTGGATCCCAGCTCCTCTGGGTGGCCCTGGGCAATTCAGTTCCCCTCTTAGGGCCTCAGTTTCCACATCTGAGAAATGGAGATGGCGTTCCTTTCTTCCTTGGCTGTGGCAGAGATGGAATGGGATCCATAATGTTAGCTGTTCCTGGAATCACAGTAGTGGTGACGATCATGTGATTCTTCAGCCCAGATAAAGCCCACCAGTCCTGTGGTCAGCCTCCCCTCCCTCACTGGCAGGAGTGATAGCTAACGTCCCTAAAGCGCTCACTCTGTGCCCAACTATGTGAAGCGCTTGCCGTGCATTTTCCCCACCTCGCTTGCTGCAACCATGTCAGATGCCTGTTCGTACTATCCCCATTTCACAGATGAGGATACTGAGACACAGAGAGAGGAAGTCATTGCCCAAGGTCACGCAGCTGGTTAGTGTCTGGGAGAGGATATGAACACAGACAGTCTGACCTCGGGCAGCAAACACAGGTTAACTGCTAAGCTCTCCTGCTCCCTTTTGAGGGAGTGGAAGGCAGAGAGACGTACGTGATTTTCTTTGATGCTTTCGTGGATTTCGCGATTCTGGGGCGCCCCGCTCTCCAAGGCACCTCTGTGTGGCTGAAGACCTGAGCTGGGCTGGGTGCTGGGGAGCACGGGTGGGGCAGGGCCTGCTGACCATTGTGTCCCTGCAGCGGCTGTAGAGGCCTGCGTCCTGCATGGGCTGCGGCGGCGGGCGGCTGGCTTTCTGCGCAGCAACAAGATTGCAGCTCTCTTCATGAAAGTGGGCAAGAACTTCCCACCGGCCGAAGAGCTGAGCCGCAAGGTGCAGGACCTGGAACAGCTGATGGAGAGCGCGTGAGTGTGGAGCATGGGGTATGGGCTGGAGCGTTCCTGCAGGGGACAGTCCAGGCTCCTCCCTGAGCTCTGCCAGAACCCGCACCTCCTGGCACTGTCTGCACTCTCCTTTCGCTCCTCAAACCCGCCAGACTCTTTCCTACCCCGGGGCCTTTGCACATGCTCGACCTACCACCCGGTTCACACGCCTCACCTTCCAGGGCTGGTGCCTTGTCATCATTCAGGCTTTCCCCCAGTTAAGGGCAAACTCCAACCCTCACCCCATTTCTCTTACATATCACTGCTTATTTTCTCTCCTGTGGTTATCACCACCTCTAATTATTCATTCCTTTGTGTACTTTTTACTTAATTGTTGTCTATCTCTCCTCCTTGGCTCTGAACTCCATGAGAACAGGCCACTAAAATCTGTTATTCCCCATTTTGTCCCCAGTGTCTGGACAGTGCCCAGCACCTGGTAAAATGCTCAAGAAATGATTGTTGAATGAGTAAGTGTCTGCTGTTAGCCAAACCCATTCCGCATGCAGGAAGACCAAGTTTAATGAAACTACTGTGGTCTCCATCTGCATGGATCAGATACTGACACTGAGGCAACAAGGGGACCGGTGACTTCACTCACACGTCTGGAGGGCTGATTTCCTGGGGGGAGGGCTCAGGGCCTGAGGGCATGTACGGGAGAACCTCCCACCAGAGTCCCGACCGCACAGTTTGACTCTACGCCAGAGCCGCGGTCTGGAGCCTGGTCAGGGCTAGCAAAGAGGTTTCAGCTCCCATGGGTGCCAGCAGCCGCCCACAGGACCTTGTTGTGAAAGATTCCGGAGCCGTGACTGGGCTTCACGGGAAAGAATGTGTGGATTGATTCGCCGTGTGTGTGACGGGCAAGAGAAGGGAGAGAGAGGCGCACGTGCTGTGTGTGCCGTGGGTGATCGCTCCTCCTCAGCGGGTGGGAGATGGTCCTTTCCCTCCCTTGCAGGCTGTGCCAGCCCAGGGCTGCTGGCCAGAACTGTGGGACGGGCAAGGCTGTGGACTTAGCGTCACCGCCTCCCTTTCGGAATCAGACTCCTCAGCCACTTGGTCTTCAAGGTGCCTTCCAGTCCGTATGCTAAATTCCCAAGTGTTTGCTGACAACTTCCGAAAGGGAGCGATTTCCATGGGCCTTCCATAATATCGGGAATGACTTTCTCATGGAGGAATTAGAGATACCCATGCCAGGTGGTAAGGGAGAGCCATTCATTTCATTCATGCAGTCGCTCATTCATGAGAGAGGGAAGGGGAGAGAGGGAATGAGAGAGAGAGATGAAGAGAAGTATCGCTATGAGAATCTGGCTTGCCCATCAACAGTATATGAAGGTGTCTGTTTTATCGCATCTTCACACTCACTGGGTGTTATTTTTTTCAACACGTCACCCACTTGCCAGGAGCAATGTGGGCTTTTGTTGTTGTTTTAGTCGCCGTTCCTTCATTCCCTAGAGAGGTTGGGCATTTTGCTGTTTGCACATTGGTCCTGTTGGATCTCCTTTTTTGCGAATATTCCTCCTCCTTCTGTACTGGTCTTGAAGGCGAAACCAGATTCAGGGCCTCCAGGAGAATGTGCGGAAGCTGCCGAAGCTGCCCAGCCTGTCCCCACTTGCCATCAAGCACCTGTGGATCCGCACTGCTTTGTTTGAGAAGGTCCTGGACAAAATTGTGCATTACCTGGTCGAAAACAGCAGGTGAGTGAGAAAGAGCAGCCGCCGTGGCGTGCTCTGGCGCCACCTTCTGGCCATTTTGGGAACTGCACCCTATGGCACAAAGCAACTTTCTTTTCTCTCCTGTTGACGTGCCCTTGATTTGAAAGCAGTTAGATAAAGGCCTTCTGGATGTTTGCCTCTAAATGAGCCCAGCTTAGAACCTGGGACTATTTAGCTGCTTCCTGCTAATATAGGATCTTCAAATTTGGAGTGAGGAACAAGGATCTTGCAATCTTAGGGATCTTTTTCCTCCCATGAATGAAGCCTACAGTCTACTTGCTAACTGTGGTCCTAGAAGAGTCATGTAGCTTCTCTGTGTCTCTGCTGCTCTTTTAATAAATGGGACAAGGGGGCGCCTGGGTGGCGCAGTCGGTTAAGCGTCCGACTTCAGCCAGGTCACGATCTCGCGGTCCGTGAGTTCGAGCCCCGCGTCGGGCTCTGGGCTGATGGCTCAGAGCCTGGAGCCTGTTTCCGATTCTGTGTCTCCCTCTCTCTCTGCCCCTCGCCCGTTCATGCTCTGTCTCTCTCTGTCCCAAAAATAAATAAATGTTGAAAAAAAATTAAAAAAAAAAAATAAATAAATGGGACAGGGATTGTTGCCATTCTGGAGAAGAGGTGAGAAGGGGAGTTAGTGAGTACAGTGTTTTGGAAATGTATGATACTTTTTTTACATTTTCTATTCTAGCTCAGATTAACCTGGTGTAAAGGTTTTAGACTATGAGTACTCTTGGCAAGCATTCATCCATGCATTCATTCATCCAGTAAATATTTAATGGGCACCTACCATGTGCCAGGCACTAACTGAGATGTTGGAGATACATTGGTCTTAACTGTCATGTTAAGAGCTTGGATATTATGCTAAGAGCACAGAGGAGCCAGTGAAGAATGTGGGCTTTTGTATAACCTGAGACTCTTCATGGCTAACACTCCTTCCAGCCGTAGACAGATGGGGAGAGAGAGATAGACAGGGGGAGTGGGAAAGAGGAAACACGATGAGGGAAATACCTGAGAATCTCCTCATCTCTCGGTATATGAAAGTGCCTGTTTAACCACATCTTCACATGCAGTGGGTATTATGATTACCTTTTATTCTTTGCCTGTTTGCTAGGAAAATATATATGAAAGGAGAGAGCAGAGTCCTTCCTCTCACGAACCTCACATAGTTGCAGGGAAAACAGGAAAATAGTAATTGTGGTAATATGTGGTGAGTATTCCAAGTCAGGTGGGTGGTGTTTAACTTCCTCTGGGTGGTCAGGAAAAGAATCCTGGAAGACACGGCAGTTAATCATCAGTTTGAAGGGCACGTAGGCGTTAACCCAGTGAAGTGGGTAGGGAAAAGAGTGTTCCCAGCCAAGGGAATAGCAGGTGCAAAGGCCAGGAGGCAGGAGACAAATTGGAAGAAATCCAGGCTCTGGAGTGCAGTTAATCTCTTCACCTTCTAGTAAAATGTGATACGTCTCTGCCCCGTGCCCTCGCATGGGTGCGGGCCTCCGGAGCTAATGCCTTTGGCATATGACCTTGTGTTTTCTGCTGAATGAGTCGGTAGAAGGAATGAGTAATTTATTTGAGCAGCAATGCCAGACTATCTCTTTATTTTTTTTTTGTCTAAACTTTTTATTTTTTTGATTCGCATAGAAGTTGTAACATTAGCGCAAAGCGTTCTCGCCTGCCCTCAGTGATCACATCCTACATAACCATAGTACAAATACCAAAACAGGAATTTGACATTGGTACGATACTGTTAACTAAACTACATGCTTTATTTGGATTTCACTAGTCTTTACGTACACTCATTTTTTTCTGTCTAGTTCTATGGAATTTTAGCATAGTTAAATTCAGTATAAATACATATATGTATTATTTACTTAAACGTATTTAACTATTTAATAAAAATTACATATGTATATGTATCATATTCATAGTATAAATACAGTCTATAATTCTGTATAACCAACACCACAGTCACGACACAGAACTGTTCCAGTGAAACCTACCACCCCAAAGAAGCTCCCTCGAGCTACCCTCGATGGTCACATCTTGCCCCCAGTCCCACCTGCTAGTTTTTAAGGTACTCTTTCCAAGGTTTATGATCATGCAACGGTGCTGGTTTTCAGCATAGAGACTGAGTGGCAGAGTGGAAAGTGTCTTGAAGTTTTACCTTCAGATCTGACACCAAAATGGATAAACTTGCTGCTGAGAATGCACAGAGCATGTCCGTTCGGCTTCAGCCAATATCCTGGTGGATAGAAGATTCCTCTGGGGTCAAATTACAGTGATGTTGCCACCCCTTAGCAAGAAGTCCCTGGTGTCAGAGTCTGTGCTGTTGCTGTAAAAGCAGGTCAATATTTAATCCTCCCAACAGCCTGGGCAGGTGAGTTCTGTCATTCTTGTCATTTTATAGCTGAGGAGCTCAGAGAGGGTAGTCGTCACATGCCCAGAGACACACAGTGAGAGTGGGAGTGGCCGACCTGGGCTCCCACTCAGTCTGCCTTGCTGCAGATCCTGTGTTCTTAGACCCCTGCTGTAGGATGGGAACACCCAAGCCGGCTGGGTATAGCTTGCATCCACCTGCTGTGTGGCCTCCAAGAAGTCACTTACCCTCTCTGAGCCTGACATCCCTTGGGAAGGTAGAACAAGGTCCTTTCCAACTCTAAAATTCGGTTCCTAGCTTGAAGGAGTTTGCAGAGAATTAGGAGGCACTACACAACAACTCAAACAAAAAAGCAAAACCCAAAAACACTCAGCACAAACATTGTCTTGCCCATATGACAAGTTATTTTGAAGAGCCAGAAGCCAGGGGGCGCTTGTGAGCACGTCAGGCCAGCGTCATCCACATAGTTATCCGCGCAGGAAGTCCTGTTAATATAGCTTTTCCGTACACACCACAGCTAAAAAGCCTTTTATTGCCTCAATAATATTAGAAGAGCTGACATCATCTGAGCTCCCAAGCCACTTGGCGCCTGAAATGGAAGATGTGATAGAAGCTGATAGAAGCAGCCAGGAGCAGCCTTCTAATTACTATTCCCGTTACTCTCATTAAGGCTGTATCACAGCCATGTATTAAGCAGTTACGTGCCAAGCATGGTACTAAGTGCCCACATCTGTTGTCTCTTTCAAAAGTCCCTTTTTCTTTTTTTTAAATTTAAGTAAGCTTCACACCCAGCATGGAGCTCAACGTGAGGCGTGAACTCACGACCCTGAGATCAAGACCTGAGCTGAGATCAAGAGTCAGACACTTAACTGAACCATGTAGGTGCCCCTCTAAAGTCCTTCTGATGGCCCTAGGATATATGTTTTTATTACCCCCATTTTACAGATGGGACATTTGAGGCTTACAGCGTTAACTGGGTAACAAGAGGGAGGCTGAACTCAGTCTGCTCTTAAGCATCAGGTCAGTTGTGCGCCCTCTGCTGGTTACCATCCAGACCTGCCTGTCCTTTTCTCTTACTAGTAAATACTATGAGAAGGAAGCCCTCCTGATGGACCCGGTGGATGGCCCCATCCTTGCATCTTTGTTGGGTAAGTGGTCCAGGGCTCTGAGCTTCATCTGGATCTCTGATGTTGGCTCACTAGTGCACCTCCTAAGGGCCTCTCTGGTTTCCCTCTAGCCTTCTCCATCAAAACTTACCTGTTCCCTGGCTCTTGCTCTCAGGCTCTTGTGCTGGACTCTCCCTGGGGCATACTCACTGGCTGGAGGGGAGAGGCAGTGAAGGTGGTGGCCCATCTGGGGGTAGACAGGAGGGTAGACTTTGAGGGCTATGGATTCCCAGTCCCTGTATGCTCCACAGTGGGGCCCTGTGCCCTGGAGTACACCAAGATGAAGACTGCCGATCACTTCTGGACTGACCCCTCGGCCGACGAGCTTGTCCAGAGGCACCGCATCCACAGCTCGCACCTGCGGCAGGACTCACCCACCAAGCGTCCAGCCCTCTGTGTGAGTAGGGGTGGACTCTGGGGCCCTGGGAGGGAGTTGGGCTGAGTGCCAGACTTGGTGTGGAGGTGGAGAACGGAGTGGGACATTGAGGGTCACCGCAGGCCTCACCCTCCACCTCCCCTCACCCTGCCAGATCCAGAAGAGACATTCAAGTGGCAGCATGGACGACCGACCATCCCTTTCTGCCCGTGACTATGTTGAGTCCCTGCACCAGAACTCCCGGGCCACGCTCCTCTATGGCAAGAACAACGTTCTGGTTCAGCCGGTGAGAGATATCTGGGACCCAGATCTTCCACAGGGGGTCTGGCTTCCGGTTGTACAGGAGGCGTTCCCTCTGGTTCCGGGCTGCTCATCCATTCATCCATCCATCTATCCACACCTCCATCTCTCCATCCATTCATCCAT